CAAATATGGATGGCCGCTACCATTGAATATAATACCCGCAAAACTTTAATTATCATTTGCATAAAATTCTAAATAGCACTTTTTATACAATAAAGTAAACTTTTAGATCAGTCCATTTTGTTTTTCACTAATTAAGTAAAAAGTAAAACAAGCCAATAGGGCCGTGAATTAAAATTTCTTGCAACTTTTTATAGAAAAGCATGACCTTATCACAATATAAAAGTCAATCATTTAGCCATGTGATAAAACTTTTAAGTGTGCCAGTCAAATATTAATGATGATATTCGGGTCATTATACTGGAAATAGTCTTTTAAATATTTTGTAATACAATTGATAATCTTCAGTATGATTGACCGTGTATATGACTTTTATAAGTCTATGTTATTTTTGATGAAAATTATTATTGCAGATAAAAGCCCTTTCACATTTATTTTAGTCTCGAATTAAATAAATCAAAATGAAAATAATAACATTGGCTATTTATAACTGATCTTTAAATGTAAAACACTGACTTGAAATTATATAATTATTGGCATTTTTTTAATTCATTGAACTTTTTGAAGATTTTGTTGAAACTCTATTGGTAAAAAAAAAACAAATATATATATTACAGTTCTTGATGAAGATAATGTATGCGCGTTACATCGCATCCCATCAAGAATTTATAATGTAATTCTTGGTGTAAAGCTAAGACGTGATAATAACTGTAAACGATAGAATAACAAAATAATGAAAACATTTACATTTACATACAAAACATTTACAAAAATACTTGCTTTATAACGTAATAAATATTATTTGACCGTAATAAAATAAAACAAGGTAGTCTTCAGCATGAAAGTAAAAATAAATATTTTCGATTATTTTTGCAATATCTAACAGCCGGATCAGCGCGCGATTCTGATCCATCTAAAGATGCTAAATTTCAGCAAGCACTGTCAAATTCAATAGGAGTGACAGAAAAACGGTTCTTGATATAGAAAGGTAAATAAATTATTTAACCTATAAAGTAAAATCACTTTATTATAAATCAAAATAGCCCAATAGCTTTATTAACATGAGACATAATTGTACGAGTGCTTACTTTTATAATACTTAACATTATTTTACTGAAATCTCAGAAAGTTTTTTTTAAATAGAATAAGGGTGACAAACGAGCACACAGTCCACCTGATGGTAAGTGGTTGCTACGGCCCATACACATCTACATCTATTCTCGATTACGTATCAAAATGTAGATGCGTTGTCACCCGTGAGGACTAAGATGATAATCCCTCGTTTCCAGTAAAAAGGTTATCCGGTTCTCTACACTCACCATACGAAACACAGCAGGGTTAAACTGCTATTTTACATGTTATTCCGTGAGAGCGTGGCCCTTCCCCGGTCGAGCCGACCCATTCGTGCTACAAATATACCTACTACTAATATAGCTGCAGCATGGCTCTACCACGTAAAAAAAATTGACGTTGAAAATTTAAGTTTTTAGAAGCAACTTTGCAATTATTTTCTATTGAGTTAATTTTTGTGGAATCGTGTTTTGCAAACCGCCACCTGAAATACGTACATTTTTTTTTCAATAATGACGTGAAATTACAAAACGATCCCCATGCATTTCAATGTGGCTCTATTCAGCCTCTTAATAGAACATACCTCGGGATTCAGAGATTTTAAAAGTTTTCATGCGTAGATAATGGAAGATATAATATTATATTATTACTGTCCCGTGTGAGGCAACCTTTATACTTATATACATATTCTCATCATATTTTTATGGTTGGTTAGAAAAATTATATCTAAATGCAAACTTTCTCAGGGTAAATTTTTTTTTACTATTTAACCCAGCAAGTAGTAAAGCAACTACAATCCCATCGGTAAGTGGTTATGTAGTCTAAGATGGTGAATTGCACTGACTTAACAAAAACCTATTCACTCTTGCCTAATAGTACTAGGTAAGTATTATTTGCGACCTATTTGTGTGTGTGTGTGTGTGTGTTTGTGTGAAGAAAAGTGTATGAGAATACGTGAAGAGGCATAAAGGTTGAGTACTAATTCGCTTACCTGTACCAGGTTGCCACTCTAGGACCCTTCTTCCTATTTTTTATTTGTTTTCCAAGTTATATAGCCAGCCCATTGCCATTTCACTATAATATTCCGTTGAGCTATGTCAGTTACTCTGGTTCTAATGCATATATCTTCATTTCTAACTTTATCACGTAGAGAAACCCCTATCCAATTTAAAATTTTTACATTTTTTAGATGATAGTTTGTCTAACATAAAAAAAACCATAAACCCAAGAATGTCTTTATATAGTTAGTTATACTTAGGTAAGCACCATTATTTTATTTATTTAATTGTTTGATTTAATTTGATAACAGTGTACCTAAATGTAAGTATCTGTATCTTTATTTCCCTCCCCAATAATATTTTATAAAGTCATACTCATAAAAACAGCGTTTTATTGTAATACATAATTATAAAATTCATTATCAACTAATTAATAAAAATATGCAACAATAAAATTACATAGGTATTAAAAACTATCGAAATCTAAGTAACGAGAGCATGTTCGTCGTTCCCCATCTAAATTATATAAAAATGCATTTTTCAATTTCACTAATCAACGTCGCCGCAAAAATTTCTTCTTCTTTGGGCACTTTAAAAATTCATTTATTTAGAAAATAATATTTACAGTTACCAGTGTACAGATATTAACTAAATTAAGTATTTCTAGTCATAAAAATATTTATAATTGAGTATAAACTTTTAAAAAACTAATATATATTTGAACGAAGTCGCTCCAACACCGACGTGCGGTCCACCCTCGACGATGTCCGAAAACGGACTGTGACAGAGCTTACATGGCGACGGAGCATGCGCGCTCGCGTAAATATATTCAATTTCAGGGAAAAATTATATATTCTCTTATAAAACGGGTAATAAAAATAAAACTCTCAATTAAAAATATTAATATTTTTAAGACCTTTTTTTTAGTGTAAGAACTATTTAAAAAGCTTGTGCCGTTTTGGAGAAATTTTGCAAAATATTACAAAGATAGGTACTCTTTGGGGATTTTTTTTCTTATAAGCGGTTGACAAAAATACAATTTTGTTAAATTAAAAACATTTACCAAATCTTCTTCTGTTACCTTGTATTTTTTCTTTGTGGATTAAATGAACAGTTATTGAGATTTTTTTACTTAAATATCCTAGATTTAGGCATTTCAACTACTGTTAAGGCCTTAAGGGGTAAACATGCTTATTCTAAAGATTAATTCATTAGTTCTAGCATTAGTGCCTTTATACTAGATATGTTTCTTTTTTTAAATAGAATATGGGTGACAAACGAGCACACAGCCCATCTGATGGTAAGTGGATGCTGTGGCCCATAGACATCTAAATTTATCCTTGATTAAGAATCGAAGTACAGATGCGTTGTAACCCCTAAGAACTAAGATAGAATGCCTCGTTTCCAGTAAAAAAGTGTCTCCGGTTTTATTTTATCACCATACGAAACACAGAAGCACTGAGCTGCTATTTAATCTGGTATTCTGTGAGAGTGTGGTCGTACCCCGGTTTAGCCAACCCTACCACGTTTAGATCTTTTTGTACTATAGTAAATTAATTGTAATAACAACATTATACAATTTCACTCCTGCACTCAATAGTTATTGATATAGCCCAGTGGATCATTAGGCTGAAAAGGCAATGGACCAGCCCTGTCTGCAGATGAGCCTGAGCAAAAGACAGTTAATGAATGATTATCTACCGTTTGTTTGCCAAGTATCTTTGAAAGAGTTAGAGTAAAAACGATCAAATAATGGCATCCTACTGCACCATCACAATGTTTTGGCGCGCACCGCGACTAAGTCAAAGTCAATTTTGGCTTCTGAAAAGGTGGAGCCCGTGACCCTTCTCGCACGCAGTCTAAACCTTGCGATTTCTTTATTTTCTTATGATGCCGTACACTTTGCCTGCCGGTACGAGGCTGCCACTTGAGCAACTTTCTTCCCCATCGGTTGTTGGTTCTTCAAGCTATATGGCCGCCCCATTGCCACTTCAGCTTACTAATCCGTTGGGTTTACTTGGTTACTCTGGTTCTACTGCGGATAACCTCGTTTTTAGTCTATCACGCATAGAAACCCCGAGCATAGCCCTATCTAGCTCGCTGAGCTACCTTGAGCTTTCTCATACGGCCAGGATGGAGAATACTTTGAAACGCAATAAATATATTAGCTTATACATAAATTGCTTTATTTATGAATTACCCTAAGTTTTCAGTGTGTCCGACGGAGAAAGAAACATGTACATTAGTGTGGGCGTGATTTTGCCAGCGTAATAAAAAAGTCCCAACCTTTAATGAATATGTAATCTAGCAGCCTAGGATTTTCTCCCGTATCGTGGAAGTGATTTACGTACATTAATTGCATATCGAAAAACATTCGAACCCGGAACAATTCAAATTATTTGTGTTTCGTGTTGAAATACCAAATCAAACTATCATAATTCGTTTTATTGTAAGTAAAATTTTAGATTATTCAGATGGAACTGGAAGTGGGGGAAACTGAATCATGAATTTCCATTACATACATACATATACACATACATACATACATACACATTACATACATAGAGTTTTGACATTTGGTTCTTATCTAAACTGTAAACATACGGTTCCATTAGAAGTATTGAATTGATATTGATGTTTAAACGTGTTTAAATAAAATTCAACGCAATCAATAAGGATTTAAGACGGACAGAGTGACGAAATTAGCATTTCGATAGTTTGATTATAAATGTTTTTCTGCTTGTGTTGTTTAATATTCTGAACCAATACTGCATGAGCTACAACGAATATCAAGTCGTTTTTTTAAAATCCATATCATAAAGAGCTATTTGTGGCGTATTTATCTAATCTCAAAGTTTGATTGTGACCAGTGCATTTGAGTTTCTGACACAGTCTAGATAAATTGTGACATCCGTGATTTTTTTTTTGGATAGAATGTCCTGCTGTAAGTACTTAAGTTACTGTTTTATTTTTAATTTAAAATTCATTTGTTTTTCAATAAAATGTGTATAAGGTTGAACATCTTCATATTATTTTTATGAATAATTAAGGATATTTAACTGCAGAAATATTACAATGCTGCATAGGAAAGCTAAAAATGCTGCAAAGTCAAAACCGTATAATATATATTAATGTTTTAGATTATTCAATTGTTTCTGTAAAAAAACAAACATAATTAAAGCTAAGCCTAATTTTTGTAAAACGATTTATCTTGTATAAACGTAAAAACGAAACCAATTTATAGAATATATAAATCGTTACGTCGTATAAGACTAAATCTATACAAATAAATAAAATTGAAGTGTCTGTTTGTAATGTCAAAATTACTGCTTTTTACTAAATGCATATGAAAATATATACGGTACAACAAAAATATTTTTTTAAAGTTTTTGTCTGTCTGTCTGTCCTGTCCTGACTGAAGTATTGGCATAGATTTCAGAAGATATTAAATTATATGAATTTTTTTATTCGTTTTAGTTTTTTTGAAGTCGCTTTTTACTTTTTTTAAGTTTTATTATTTGAACTTTTTGAGTGGATTAAGCAGTATCACTACCTAAAGGTAACAACCAAAATGTCTTCTAAATACTTACAATAAAAATTTAATTACCTGTTTATTCCTCGAGAATGGAATTTTTTGTTCATATTTAAATACGATCATCAATATCAAATATCGCGTAACAAAAGCCGTATAAAAAACCAATTGAGAACATCTTCCTTGAAGTCGGCTAAAATGAGTCATATTCACAATATATTATTTTGTTTTACTACCAAAAAAGTATCATAAAATCTGTCAGGTGGTGCTGTGGTTGAGTTATGTAAGAAATTTTTATTTATATTGCAAAAATTTATGGATGGAATATATTATTATTATAAATTTACCACAAACCCACGACATACACCGCGGTGATCATGAATTTTGGCATAAAACACTAACCATATTGTTAACCGGACGTCCACGCGAACATATCCGCGTTAAACTTATTGTATATAATAATATATGCCTGCCTGCCTTCTTGATGATTAAGGAAAATTCTTCTTAAAACGGAAAATGCCCGTGTCATTGAACGGACTTATACGGGTCGATCTCGAATTCCAATGGGAGCAGCCATCCGTGCGAAAAAGGAAGTTATAGAAAGTTGTAGGTATATTTATTTTGAATAATGCAACCAAACTACTTTAGATAGTAGGTACACGTATATTTTATTCACAAGTTTGATTCACAAGTAGACCGATCACGGGAAAATTATGCATGTGTTATGGCTGTTACACTAACATTGTATTAATACATAATTCGAAATATTTAATATGAAATGCCTTCTTCTTATCATGTTACTTAAATATAAGGTTTAGTACATGTTTATAAGTAATATAATATGACGGGATACAAAAGTATGCCGTGTAGTGGCGGTTAAGAATATCCACTACCCCATATCTTCCCGTGTGTGTCGTAATAGGCGACAAAGGGAAACAGGCAGGAGATGGGCAGCAGCATCTTCCTAATAACAGCTAAAATACAATAAAAAAACTGCGGTTGCCAACCCGCTCGCCAAGCGTGGCAACTATGGCAAATACCCCCCCAATGGATAAAGTTACTAAGAGACGGCCCCCAGTCCCCGGCGGCCCCGCTATTCCTGGCTACGGTGGCGACCGTGGTAACAGCGGGGCAGGGGGTGCTAAGAATCTCCGGTGGAGGTTCGGTTGCCACCTACGACGACTCGACCTGGCAACATACAACGCACGCACCCTGAGGACTGCCGAGAAGATTGTGGAGCTGGAAGAAGAGATAGACAAGTTACGCTGGCATATTATAGGATTATCCGAAGTCCGAAGAGAGAGGGGGGGGGGAACGGTAATCCTCGAATCCGGCAACTTGCTCTATTACCGTGAGGGCGACCATTTGTCCCAAGGAGGTGTCGGATTTATCGTCCACAAGTCTCTCGTTAACAACGTTGTAAAGATTGAGAGTGTCTCGAAGAGGGTTTCGTACCTTACACTCAGAATCACCAAACGGTATTCGCTGAAGGTCATACAGGTTTGCGCACCAACCTCGGCACATCCCGATGAGGAGGTGGAGGAAATGTATGAGAATGCTCTTTAATTCCGTCCTCCATGGTGGCATTACACCGGAGGCGTGGAGCAGAAGTGCGGTGGTCTTATTTTTCAAGAAAGGCGACAACGCTCTCTTGAAGAACTACATACCAATTTCCCTTCTGAGCTGCGTCTACGTGCTGTTTTCGAGAGTCATTACGAATCGTCTCGCGCGCAGACTTGACGACTTCCAGCCTCCCGAACAAGCCGGTTTTCGAAAAGGCTTTAGCACCATAGACCACATACATACCCTTCGGCAAATTGCACAAAAGTCAGAGAAAGACAATTTGCCACTATGTCTGGCGTATGTGGACTATGAGAAAGTCTTTGATTCCGTTGAAATTTGGGCGGTGCTGCAGTCCCTTCAGCGGTGCCAAGTGGACTTTCGGTATATCGAAGTGCTCAAGTGCTTGTACAGTAGGGCTACGATGGCTATCCGAGTACAGAACCAGAGTACGAAACCTATCCAATTGCAGAGAGGTGTAAGACGGGGTGACGTCATATCCCCGAAACTCTTTACCGCTGCATTGGAAGACGTTTTCAAGCTTCTGGACTAGAAAGGATACGGTATCAACATTAATGGCGAGTAAATCACTCACCTTCGATTTGCCGACGATATAGTCCTTATGGCCTCAATAGTGCTTTCGAACGGTTAGGTCTTAAGATGAACATGGACAAAACAAAGATCATGTTTAATGTCCATGTCACACATATGCCGCTAGTTGTTTGGAGCACTAAGCTCGAAGTTGTTGACGAGTATGTTTACCTGGGACAAATAGTCCGACTTGGTATGTCCAACTTCGACCGAGATGTCAATCGACGGGTTCAACTCGGTTGGGCAGCGTTCGGGAAATTACGGCACATCTTCTCGTCAGGTATACCTCAAAACTTGAAAACGAGACTGTACAACTAGTGCGTGTTGCCAGTGATGACATACGGAACTGAGACGTGGTCCTTCACTGCTGGCCGGATGAGAAAGCTCAAGGTCGCTCAGCGAGCTATGGAGAGGGCTATGCTCGGAGTTTCTCTGCGTGATAAACTCAGAAATGAGGATATCCGCAGTAGAACCAGAGTGACCGACATAGCCCAACGGATCAGTAAGCTGAAGTGGCAATGGGCCGGCCATATAGCTCGAAGAACCGACAACCGATGGGGAAGAAAGGTTCTCGATTGGCAGCCTCGTACCGGCAGGCGAAGTGCTGGGCGATCCCCCACTAGATGTAGTGACGACCTGGTAAGATATGCAGGAAGTCGATGGATGCAGGTGGCTCAGGACCGTGCTTTGTGGCATTCTTTGGGGAAGGCCTATGTTCAGCAGTGGACTTGTGAAGGGCTGTAATGATGACGATGAGGATGACAAGAGTTTTACTTTTTAATTGTTACAGGGCTGACGCTACAATTTTAGTACCTAAAACTTAATCTACAAGTATTTATTTTTAGCCATTTTATCAAAAATGTAATATTTTCATATTGCAAACGAAACATACGATTAATCTTATATTACTGTTTATATTTCTTAATTAGTGTTTGTATAAAATTCACGGTCTTGATCCATCAGCGTCTATCGACTTCTTGCATGTCTTACCAGATTGTCACTATCTAGTGAGAGGCCGCCCTGCACTTCACTTACAGATACGGGTACGGTAAAGTTGTTATCAGGAGAATAAGACTACTATCACTGCTGCTGCTGCCCGTCACTTGAATTAGTTTCCCTCTGTCTTTTCTCACGACACCCACGGATTGATGTGTGGTAGTGGATATTTTTGGGCCACCACTGCACGGCGAGACTATCACAAGAAAAAAACTAGGACAAGAAAAGTTGAAGAGAAGTTCAATAAAATATTTAGTCACGTCTTGAAATCCATGGATTTGGATTTATCATGTTTTCAAAATTACTTACTTATGTATATACATATTCTTACGTTAATGAACTTGTATTCTAAAATCCAATTTTCACAAGCACGCTGGACACATAATCTATCCCAAGAACTGGTAATGGAGAGCAGCATATCTAAGTAGTCTATTCAAGTAAACTAGTCTAGTCAAGTAAACTAGTCAATTCTATAGTAGACCGATTTGTCAACATAATCACAAGGAAAATATCTGCCTAGAAATGCATCACATATGCGCAGCAAGCTTCAAAACTGCATTTAAATGCATTCAGGTTTAAAAAAATATTATTCTACTTTTATGCTAATAACAGTAATCGACAATATAGAATGTCTGTTTATTATATCAAGACATCTACAGGCTCGTAGTTTTCAGTAACATTATTTTGATAATATAATCAACACGGCAAATGAAGTCATTAGTTTTTATTATGTTGTGACATCGAGTTTTCTTTTAATCTCTTTAGTTTAATTAATTTTCTTTTCAGGTAAAGGTCCTGGATACAAGTCTCCATTAGATGCATTTAGAAATGGGCCCAGAGAAAAACTTCTTTACGTTGTCTGCGTTCAGCCAAATCCAAATAAACAAGATTATTTAGCTACAGTTGATGTTGATCCAGAATCTTCGACTTACTGTCAGGTATTAAAATATTCATAATGCATCAAATCGTTTTAAGAAATCTAAATTCATGTAAATACGTACATATTGGTACAATAGAATTTGAAATTTACATATAATTGAAGTTCGATGAATATTCAACTGACGTTGCAAACTCTTGAAAATAATATACTTCATTTATTAGCAATAACAATGGAGTCCATAACATCGGAGGCCGGAAAATTATCACTATATTACTCATGTGATGACTTTTAAGGTTCTTAGTTCAATTTTACTATTTTCAAAAACATGTGTATGCGTGCATGTTAGTTCAGACAACAGTGAATAATATGTAGTACACATCTCGATTACAGACAATGATTAATGATTATATAGATTCCAAACTAATTTTATTTGTCGCGTAATTCCATAACAGGTCAGGAGTTTCCTGACTAAGTTTATGTTAAATTTAAATCAGCAATTACCAAATAGGAAGTTGATAGTTTTTCCAGTCCGAATCGCTTTTACATACATATCATTATTTTATGCACGTGCAGTTATAACAACTCCTGCTCGCCTAGTGGTCGAAATTCGACCGTGGTTCATTAAATTTTTAGGTTTGTATATAATGCAAGCTGTATTTTACTTTCAACCTCACATTAAAACAGATATACTTCAAATAAATAAAAAAAAACGCTTTTTTAAACTGGACACCACATATTATTGACGTAAGAGCATTTATTTTGCAATCACACAAAATTAAGTAGTAATTATTTGTTGGCATCATCTCTATGGCGACAATCTCTACTCTGTGCGACTGTTTTACATACTATTATTTTTTGATATTGGCGGTATGAAAGTAAATAAATAAATCATATTTTAATTATTTTAAAGAGTAACACATAATAAATTATATATAAAATTTATATTTTTGTACTCCTTCACATAAAGTTTAAAATAAATCTTACTCTGTTCCGTGCGAGCAATATGCTTAAAGAGATATATAAGATAATAATTGTTTCCTTCATTTGTTAATGTTAAGATAAGGGACTGCAATTTATAAAACTGGTACCGTATTTAAGAAAACATCATCCTTCAATTTTAAAAAAACCCTAATCTTTATTGTCTCTTAGGTAATTCATCGTACATATACCGGAAGTATTGGAAATGAAATACATCACAGTGGCTGGAACGTATGCTCTAGTTGTCATGGAAATGTTTCGCTCAAAAGAGATTTTCTTCTGCTTCCTGCATTACACACGAGTAATATATTTGTAATTGATGTTGGCAGGAATCCTAAGAAACCTCAGTTACATAAGGTAAATGATGATATGAAATGTTAAATACCTACTATTAGTTTAATCAGTGATGATAAAAATAAAAAATAAACTATTGGTAAATCTAATTGTGCATGCCCTAAGCGCATTAAAAAAATTACGTATAACATGATTATACGTAAATTTTTTAATAGTTTAAATACACATAAGTTTTCACTAATAACCTTATTTATTCTAATTTTTCAATAATTTTATGTTAAACTTCAATTTAAAAAAAAAGTTTGCAAAATCCAAAAGTGCACGACTCATTATGCTCATATTATCATCATTCAGGTCGCTCATAAAGTTCAAGACGTATTTAAGTAAAAATATACTTAAATATATACATCCTACTTACTTTTAGTACGTAATTCTATTATTTATTCTGTGCTTTAAAAACATTGTAATGAAAATCTCTGATTATTAAAGTAATAATGTATGAGATTTGGTTCTTCTATTATATTTTGTATTTACACAGCGATCTTCTTGAGCCGCTGCAAACAACCGACACAGTGTCCACTCACGACAGCGATTGACGCCGAAGTAAATCAGTGAGGCAGATGCAGTCTATTTAATAAAATAAATTATTACAAGGCTAATGCTATAATACTGCAATTTCCGGATTTCAACGCCGAAAAAAAATTATGACTAAAAAAGAGAAAATTAAACTGCCATTTACATTCCATGGCTTCCTACATAATTATGAAGATATTAAAAAATAGATTAAGTTGAACAATTGATATTTTCAAAAGTTTTCGTGTTTACTACACCATGCGGACTTGATAAAACTACGGCCATAAGCCACTAAAACCACTTTTTTATGTAAATCATTTATCTTTCTGACAATGTGCTTTTTATATCATTTATACGTTCAACATGATTGTTAGATAGGATTTTATGCGACAAAACGTTGGAATTTTGATTTTTAGGCACTAGTAGAACATACTTACGCGCTTTGCGCTGAAGGCATGCAATAATATACATTTTTTATAGGATAGGGTGACAAACGAGCACACAGTCCACCTGAAGGTAAGTGGTTGCTGTGACCCATAGACATCCACATCTATCTTCAATAAAGGATCAAAATACAGATGTGTTCTCACCCGTAAAGACAAAAATTTAATTTTAATAATACAACAGACTTTGGCATATTATGTTAATTTTAGTTCCCGGTACGTAAAATGAGGGCGCTTCAAATAGCCATAAGTATTTTGTATGGCATTAGGTCAATGTATGTATATAGGTTAGTGGTTTTTTGTTAAGCTAAGTCAGTGCGCTTAACCATCGAATAGAATATAATATTAATATTGATCATATCTGTAATTCTTATTGAATGTAATTTTTTCCTTTACCACTGGTTCGAAAAAAAACCTCTGTCCTGGGAAGAATGAGCAAGAAACCCAGCGGTACTTTTTTGTAAAGTGAATTTTATAAACTTTTGTACAACTATTTACAAAATTTATTTTTGAAACTGCTTGGAAGTGACCACCTCATTCCCAGGGGTTATTATCAACAATATATTAATTTATATTATAATATTTTTAGCTTGATAAACATTTAAACATGGCAAAAGAGAGAGCCTGTACTCTTTCCGGGACTTTATTGTAATAGCGTATACATTGCCCCAAAAATGAATATCTGAATCTGTGTAGTCGAGAAACTGGTATTACTAGCTTGTGTTTGTGTCTAGTGTTTGCAGAGTGTATATCACTTTTTTACTAAAACTACCTTTGTTTTTGTGAACATACATTAAATTTTCGTAAATATACTGAGAAGCCAAAGTTCATATATTTTTTTATTTAAATTTATCTCTAAAAGGTTCTCTCGGTTTAAGTTGTAAATAGCTCTAATATTCCTCTTCTGTAAAACAAAAATAGTTCCTGGATTCAAGACATTATGCTATGGAAATAACTCCAATAAACTAGTTTATCTGTCTCGACACTAGTGAGACCTCTACTCTTTTTTACAACATAGGCTGCAGAACTTAGTCTGCTTGCTAGTTTGAATATATGGGGGCCCCACTGAATCTTTGCATCGAGAGTAATGCCAAGAAATACAGTGGATTCAACAGGGCTCAGTTCTTCCCCATTTAAAAACACATTGCTATTCAGATTTTTAATACATTTGGTTTTAATTCCGTTTCAATGTATATTATTAATGTTAAACCAATGCACTAATTTTGATATAGCATTATTCACTTCGTGACATTTAAATGACTGTCGTTTAAATTTAAAAATCAAACAATACTATATCACGATTATTCCCTACAGTGGAAGGGACGTCATTAACATACACTAAAAATAGGAATGGACCGATAATCGAGCGCTGAGGTACACCAATTAGTACAAGTGACCCGTAAGAACTTTTACCATTGGTAATAACTTTCTGCATTCTATTACGTAAATATGAAATAATAAGCTTAAACGCTGTGTTCTTAACACAATAGTACTGTAGGTTCCTGATTAATGTATCCTGGTGAATACAGTCGAAGGCCTTGAAAAGGTCACAAAAAATACTCAAAGCATCCTTTGAAGTCTCCCATTCACAAAAATATGTTTAATAAGCTTAAGCTTAAGCGTCAGTTGTTAAAAAACCCCTTGGAAAACCAAATTGATTTTTATGAAGTAATTTATTAATATTAAAGAAACTTAACATCTGATCAAAATTTTTTTTTGGTAGTACAGAAATTGGCCTAAAATATGCAGTGTCTAATGTACTACTAGATTGAAATAAAGGTATGACTTTACTATGTTTCATTAAATCAGGAAACACGCCAGATTCGACGCTTGTATTAAATATAGTGGCTAGATAATGTGCCATTGTATCTGTTATAGATAAAATAATTTTAACGGAAATGCCGTTTCCTAACATCAATAGTTTTAAAATATTTAACGACATCTTTTGGTAATACTGTATGGAATTTAAAAGTATTTGAACAAGGCATTACATTTTGTTTAAGTAATGATTCGGTGACAGTAGGAGAATAATTTAATGATTTTGTTGTCAAAAAAGGAAAAATGTTTCTCTTCAGACATCTTCGGGCATCACCACTTATACTCACGTGGTATAGTAGTCCAGCACTGGTTTAAAATAGATAAAAAAAGAGTCTTACTAGTAATCGATTTTTTAAATGGTGACCAAAATTACAGTTTGGGTGTTTATTCAACACTACAAATATGAACTTAGGATAAATTTAGTAGTTAAATCAATAATTTTAGTGTAGTATGTACCATGCGGTCTAATAATTCCATTAATCCATCAACCCATTTCGATCCGTGTGTACCGTAAAAGGCTACTATGGAAACGCCAAACAGATTTCATGGCTTTTAATAGATAGCTTTATAACTTTAACATTTAGTTTATCCGACACGCAAGTGGAGTGGACTTTGTATAGAATGGTGAATAAGAAGAAATTGTTGTTTATTATATGATATTTTTAATGTGTTATTAGGTAATCGATGGTTCAGAACTGAAATCACTTAACTGTAGTTTTCCACACACAACTCATTGCCTGGCCAATGGTGAAATTATGATTTCGACAATTGGCGACAAAAATGAAAATGCAAAAGGCGATTTTGTTCTTATTGATTCTAAGACATTTAAAGTAAAAGGTAAGATTTCTTTAGAAAATAGCTTAGTTTATATTAATGAATTAATAGAATAAAATTAATAATACATAACATATATTAAAGGGACTTGGACAAAGGGTGGCAAATGTGCTAACTTTGGTTATGACTTCTGGTACCAGCCATATCACGACGTAATGATTGCTTCTGAATTCGGTATACCTAAACTTATAAAAAGGTAGTATAACATAACACTTAAAAATAAAGGAAATGATAAATATTTTATTCTCAGATATTAAAAATTAAATCAACTTCCAGAGGTTTTGATAGGAAAGATACTACCGATACAAAAGAATTCGGAACATGCTTGAATATTTATAAATGGTCAACCCATGAATTGCAACAAGTTTTAGACTTGGGTGAAGAGGGTTGTGGTCCACTGGAGGTCAGGTTCCTCCATGATCCTAAATCTTCGCAGGGATTTGTTGGGTGTGCCTTAAATGCTAACGTTTATAGGTGAGCCATTTGAATATAATTTGCATATTTTAAGCTTACAAGCACCTAAAATCTTCTAACTTAACCCAAACCTAATTCGAAGATACAAAGTGTTTTAGTACGTACTAAAACACTTTATACGAGGGCAAATCTTTTAAGTTCGTTCATCACCAAGCCGCTGATAATAAAATAATATGATTTAATACATACATAAAAATATATAGAAATCTATTTCATATTTTTTTTTTCAATTTTACATAATACTTAATTTTATCTACAATATTAAAAACTACGATAATAAAAAAGAAAAACTAAAACTAGAAACTTAATTATCATATAGTCCTACTCGCCGCGGTATCGTGCCAAGAACGCTGGCTGCGTTTCCCCGCTGAATGGCTATACTTAGCCTTTGAGCGAGGAAAGAACCAGCCCTCTTATCACCAGCAGCAACGACCAGCCGCGGATGGAGTTCCTTTCCTTTATTTCATATTAATGTACATTTCGTCAAATGGCACTTATGGGTAAATCTGCCAGCTTATTGTAATCTTCATAGTAATGATTAGTTTCGACGTGGTGACACCTTTTTCTATCTAGAAGTCCGTCCATCGGAGTTAGTACCTACAATATACTTATATCTGCCACTGACACATGCAGTGTGCACTGCTGTGCTCTAATTTGTGGGTAAGAGATCCGAAATATTGACAGAATGCAAAGAGTTGACTGCATATTACCATTCCGGCTGTTGTAATCACTCATCATCAGGAGGACTGTTAGTTCATTAGTCACTCTAATGTTATATAAAAACTACTCAAGTACAAGTCAGACCTCGCGCTATTAGGGTTCTGTACATATTATGACCAATTAACATTTTTGTAAAATATATTATGAACCGATGTATTCATTATTTGTTGTTTAAATATAGTAAATCTATTAAAGCCTATAAAAGTCCACTATTTAACATAGGCCTCCACCATAAATTGCCTAATAGGTAGAAATTATAGTTGAAAAGCTTGACACGCTGGTCATCTATTTCCTGTTTCAGTTACCCGCTATCGCCTCTTACGGGGTAGTGGATATTCTTACACCACCATTAGAAGGTTTTATACACGGTATAGTATATGAAGGTACATAATATACAGAAATATGAAACTCCTAATTATATTTTGAGATAAACTCCATAAAAACGCCATAAAAGTTACATCGTCTGTCAGAACGGCACCCAATTTCTTTATCTTTGGTGATAAAAGAAAAATACATTTGTACTCAATGGGCTCTCCACAATGACACCCACATATCAGGGTTAGGAAAAAAATTCGACTCCCTTTTCATGTATCGAGTATACATCCCTACCTGAAAATAATTTAATTGAATTTCTAAATTAATATTTGGTTTTTGGTCAAAATTTTGCACCAAATATCCAAATTTCATGTCTGTAATTCATTCCATCTTCAAAAACGGAATGAATCTAGCTCGTAGTAGGAAATCGTGTCATACGAACGGATAGACAATGGACAGATGAGGATGGAGTGATGGACAAAAAGACAACACAGTATTATTAATAGGTCTTCGCTTTACCTCTTGGGTACGGCATTCTGAAATAGAATAGTAAAATTAATCTTCCCACCAAAGGTTTACGTGTGTAACTTTCCGTAAACAAAATCTCTATAATCTATAAGCGACAGTAGTTAAGGGCGCGGACTGCAAACTCAATAATATGTCTGTTCACGCGCAGAACGCGTGGTAGTTAGGATGCAGTTGAATGTGAAAAAAGTATTATTAATTTAACAGTATTCAAAATAATTCAAGCAAGGGGAATATAATCACTACGTTTATCTATATATATTTATATTTTTACTCTATATTTTTGAATCCAAGCTTCGTTTAGTTGACAAATATATGACCATTGGCATAACTATAACTATAAAGTTAAACGTAATAAAACAGTTTATTTTTAATACGAGGGAAGTGTGAACACTTATCAGATACGTTTAACTAAAGCTCAGAATTTAAAAAAAAAATGTTATTCACGTCTTGCGATTTTTATAAAATTTGCCGAATTACCATGAGTGTAGTTAATGAACTTTAGTAACCTACTTTAAGGTTTTATTTACCACCGTATTTTTGTTTTCATAGAGATCATTAATATAGCTATATATTCTTTTACAGATTTTACAAATTGTCGGACGGAACTTGGAAAACTGATAAAGTAATAGATATTCCGACGAAAACAGTTTCTAAGGAGGGTGTTGTATCTAAACACAGTGGTATGAATATTAATATTTTATAATATACATTGTTTTCATTTGCCAGGCTCCTGCGATACACATAATATCTATTTGTATCGCTAGAGCTTGAAACATAGAGGGAATTTTTATTCAAAAAACCTATAAATTGCAATTTTAGGTTTGTTGACAGACATTATTCTATCTTTGGATGACAAGTACTTATATTTGACATGCTGGTTTGATGGGGACGTAAGACAATATGACATTTCGGATCCTGAACACCCTAAACTTGTTGCACGAATATGCCTCGGTGGTAAAATTGCGAATGAAAATTTGACGATAATAGAAGATGTGGAGTTTCCGGTAAATATTACTTCTTCTAATATTAATGGATTTATATTTTGAAATGAAAATTTATTTACTACAATAAATTCTGAATAATGATGCCTATTTAATCATTTAAATATAACAGTAAAGTAATAAGAAGATAACCTTGAATGTCTATGCACTGAAATAAGATCACTTTCCTCGTAAGAGGGTATGAACTAGAAAAGCTTTTCTTAGCAGTTTTACGGTGAATTTGCGGAGTTCGGTGATCTTTCAATTTGTCAGTCATGCATACATCGCCAATTACGTGACAATGACTCTACACTGTGATTCTGCCTAAGTAAGACAAGTGATTTAGTTCTGTTCGCTGTGGTGGTTCTGCTAGTGTAAGCAAGAAAATTCTTGTTGCTGAGAGCCTGTCCTGTGTTGCATTGAAATGATTAGTATTGCTGTTGATTTGCATATTTTGGTATTATTATATCCTTAGCGTTATCAATGTGTGATTGTGTCGGTGACATAATATTACGATTGGTCGAACTGTATGTGCTCTATACTGAATGTGTAGTGCACTACGCTGTCTCATTCCTGATAATGGTTAATTGCGTAAGCAAGAGAGCAAGTTGAACATCCGCTCTCACACTATTATTTTTAACAATTAACCTTCAGAGTAATTTCTAATAACAGTAGTATTTTTATATTTAAATAATTTTGAGTATAATTTCTATCATCAGAAGTTGAATAATTGATTACAACGGTTTATTTGCTTTAGCAAGATCAGACGGTGCTTTCTGTGAAATAGCATATATATAATGGAACAATTTATTTAATAAATTAAGGATTATTGGTATAAAAAGTAGTGACAATTTTAATACATCATGAATTTCCCAGAATTTTTTAACATGCGTATTATGCCACTTACAATACCTAGTATACTTAGTTTTGCGATTTTTTTTGAAAGTCAAAGTTGGAGTATTTTATAAAGGAATATATTAGGTATTGACTCAGTGTTATATTGTTAATATAGCAGTATTAAACTAATATTAGATTATTTTTTGATCTTAGAGAGTCAGTTTTATTATTTTATTAAATCAAAGCATTATATATCCTTGCTGTTCCATGCAGTAAATAAACGTGTTACTTGTCTCTCCCAATATTTAAAAGTTATGCCTTATGCGCAGTGTTATTGCCATGAGACCAAGGACAAAACAACCAGTTGGACTAGCTCCGGCTGGGGTTTGAACTTAAGAATCGCGACGTAATAGCCGGGTAGTCTGATCACTTGGTCGCCATAATTACTACGCTACTTACGTATAAGCGCTGGTCAAAAGAGCCATTCGAGTTAATAAGTAGGGTAGTAACTCAAGCACAAAGCTTTAAATATTTTACTTTTAGATAAAAATTTAATACAAGTCACGTTTAATTTTTCCGTCTTTTACATCTTAGTAATAAAATAAAAAGTAAACCTTTTTATTAAATTGTACACAATTTTGGAATCTACATCTTAAACTGCTGTTAAGATTTAATATAAAAATTTAAGGATCGTGAAATATGTATATTTAAAATAATTCTTTTTAATTTGTGGTGTGACCATAAATTCTATTATTATCGAATTAATCGTCGCATTAAAACTATCTTGACAGTAAAACTTTTCATCCAGTTTAGGCTTTTTATAGCTATTTTAGAAGATTGTGAAGCTTAAAATTTTCATACAAAACTGGCTAAGTGCGTGTCGGGCCACGCACAATGTAGAGGAAGGGTTTCGTAGTTGCCCGTCACAATACGTGGGCTAATAATGAGCATAATAAATGAGCTCGCGGTTTGAGCGCTATAACGACTAAAAATGGGCCCAAAAAAAGATCGTAACTGAAAAACTTATTTTCAGATCATACTTATAAGAAGTGGTATTCAAAAAAGTTTAAAGGTAGTGCCATCCTAAGCTATACATATATGACCGTAACGAACCGTCACGTAAACCACCACTGCCCTAATTTATCCTGAGGTCGCTTGCGTAAACCAAGAGTGTGGTGAATGAAACTGTATGAGGCTATATGATTGTATGAATACTTTGAATGAGGCCTAAAATAACTACCAAATGAAAAATAAGTGAAAGTAGTAAGTAAGTAAGAAAGATCCTCCCTGCATATCCCGCAAATAAAAAAAGTAAAGCTGTAGCAGTAATGCAAACATAAGTTGTTTTCTTCATAAAATGTTTATTTTTAACAGCTTATAATAAAAAAGTTATAATGCAGCTAGTTTTAGGTCAAATAAAGTTGTAACGAAATTTTTACTTATCTAAGTGCATTTTGTAAGTTGGTCGACTATTACTCGTCAAATTTTTAATTTTACTTATCTGTAATAGATTTCTTTTTAACTTTATATACCACTATCTTTTATACTTTCACATTTTCAAAAACAGCGGATTATCCGTGGACAGACCGACGGACGTACGGGCGGACGGGCATGGCGAAACTATAAGGGTTTCTTGTTGTGTAACTACGGAACCCTGAAAAAGGCCAGGTATCGATTACTGAGGAACGTTCAGTTTTGTCATACATCCTGATATAACACCGTTAGTTTTGTCAACCTTTTGCTATCGGTTTGACAGATATGAGGATAAAAGATCAAGTGCAAATGATGTTTATAACAAACGTTTTTTTAATGTAAATTCCACAGTACGCTAGCAACTTAGGATAAATGCACGGCGGTACTGATAAAATTATTAATTACAACTTTGTGCTAATTTACCACGTGTTTGAGGGCAGACGTACAATATGAGAAAACCTGCATGTTCGAGAAATGAAAACATCAACGACAAGTTAAGTCCGCCAGCATAGGGACTTTAATTTTACTTTATTTTAATTAAAAATTTATGATCCACACAATCAAATGTCTTTAAAATATAACAAAATACACCGATATAATTATGGTGCTTTGCTCTGACCTTTTAAATATGTGAAAATAATTTTATACCAGCATTCGTCGTGAGTCATTTTCTAAACCTGTCCAAATCGTATTACAATCTAATTCCTATAATAATATAAATTTTTAATATCAGTATCCATTTTTTTAAGAACCAGGAAGCAATCAAGCCAGTAAAGGTAAAAGATAAACAACTGCTTGGTGGCCCGCAAATGCTCCAACTCTCTTTAGACGGCAAGCGTCTGTATGTGTCTTCGTCACTGTATTCTCCTTGGGACAAGCAATTTTATCCCGAAATGGTTAAAGATGTAAGCTAGAAATATTCCATATTTTTTTATTCGTTATCATCATAGCTCTCATTATCGATATCAATGCATGTCAATTACTTGAAATATTTTTACATACTCACCTCGCTGGGGTATATGTATAAGTATATATATAGCCCTATATATAATACAAACGAGCATGCGGCTCACCTGATGGTAAGTGACTACCACCGCCCATGAACAACTGCAACACCAAGGGAATTGTAGATGTGTTGCTGGCCTTTTCAAAAGCAGTAGGCTCTTTTCTTGAAGGTCTCTAAGTCGTATCGGTCCGGAATAATCGCTGGTGGTAATCGATTCCACAAGGAAGTTGTTGTTGAAAACATCTTCTAAATCGCACAGTGGTGGACCGCCAATCATACAGATGGTATGCATGGAATCGCAAGTTTTGTCGCGATGTGCGATGGTGAAATTGAGCAGCTGGTATTAGTCCGAACAATTTTCGTGGTACATGCGATAAAATACGCAAAGAGATGCAACATCTCTACGCAGTGCCAGTGAGTCAAGCCGATCGGAAAGAACTGTCGACGACGATTCGAACCGCTCTGCGCTAGATGCGGTCAAGTGGAAGGAGCTGGCACTGGGGAGCCCCTGCCCAGAGATGGGAACAGTATTCCATGTGAGGCCAAACCTGCGCCATGTAAAGTTGCAAGCGGTGTGCCGGCATAAAATATTGTCCCGCTCTGCTGAGCACGCCAAGCTTTTTAGAGGCCAATTTGGCCTTCTCTTCCAAGTGACCACGAAAGTGCACGTCACTCGATATGTCGACGCCGAGGATTCCGATACTGGTTGAGGCAACTAGGGGAGTGCCTTGAAACTGGGGAGATACGACAAAGGGGTTCTTTTTAGCGGTAAACGCGCAAATTTGTGTCTTCTGGGGATTGAACTGGACTAGATTTAGTCGCCCCCAATCGCAGACTTTGTTTAACAAAGTCTCTACTTCAGACACAAGTTTGTTCCGGTACTCGGCGACGTTTTCCTGAGAAATACTGGCACGGCCGGTGATAGACCATCACCAGTGCAGTCATCTGCATAGCAGTGTATGTAAAATATCATTGATATGCGGAAGAAACAGCGTTGGTGATAGCACGCAGCCTTATGAAACACCAGCGTTAACAGGCTTGTAATCTGAGTACGCACCGTCTACTACGACCTTGATGCTCCGATCAGCCAGAAAGCTGGTGATTCAATCGCAAAATTTCTCGGGAAACCCATAAAATGGAAGCTTCGAACGAAGCGCTTTGTACCAGACCCGATTGAAGGCCTTCGCTATGTCCAAACTAACAAAATGCCTCCCCCTTGGACTCGATCGCCATATATGGATATATATCTTTGTCAGAACCTCGTCCGTTTCCACAAGCAATTTCTGATAAAATGAACTCGCAAGAGAGGATCAACTTAACAATTTTAACATTAGAATCTCGTGAGAATTGAATAAAAGGAATAGAAAAGAAAATATTCTCGAGAATTATCTACTATGTATTATAGTGTCCTAAGTGTACGTATAACGAGGAGAAGGGGGGGGGGGAATTTCGTCCCAAATCAACCCTACCTGATATAATTTTCAGGTGATAAGTGCAGGTTGACATCTACAGTTTTCTTATTTAGTTGTATACGAACGATAAAGTAGGACCTTCCCTACGAACCAGCTTATGACATTCAGGCCATTTGAAAACGCAACCACTTAGCTGATAACAGTAATATACTGTAGTTATTTAATCTATTTCCAACTGTGGAATTGTCACTGTATGAGAGTTACGGTTGGGAAGTTAATTTTATGATGAGGTTTAAAACACGTTGAAATAATGACTATCTATCTATTTCTCGTATTGTTTCTATAATGTATGTGATATATGAGTATAAAATATATAAAATATTTCTATTTTATTTTATCAGTAACTTTGTTAATTTTATTATGTTCCCATCTTTTTTTATAATGTATGTGATATGTGAGATATTGTTAATTTTTAAATTTTCAGGGCGGATGGATAGTTAAATTAGATGTGGATACAGAAAACGGCGGCCTCAAATTGGATTCTCAATTTCTTGTCAATTTTGGGAATGAACCTGATGGACCAGTGTTACCCCACGAAATGCGGTATTGGTTTAGATTTATAACTTTTGCAATCCTATCGATCTTCTAGCTATTGTAAAACAATAATTCATCATGTAGTTTCTACGATTATTGTTTTTATTAACTATGTATGTAAATTATTAAATTTCATTTCAACAAATAGTTAATACTTTAGGTATGATTAAATTTCGTTCAGTTAATAGATATATTTAAAAATGAAAATCTAATTTGCAGCTATCCAGGTGGCGACCCTACATCAGATATTTGGCTGGTTGAAGAAGAACAATAAATTGGAAAATTTCAACTTTATTGTGTTCTTAGTATCGTAAATACTATTTGGTCATTTTCGCTAATCATTAGACATTAATGTTTAATTACATGAACTTTCTGTTTATGTATAATATACCAACATACTCGTATAACCGTTTAGACTATGGGCCTGTACAGGCGAAAAACTATTGTCCGCAAAGGACAAAATTCCGGAAAGCTTAGAAAAAAAGTGGTAATTACTAGCCACGGACACAACGCACACCGTGTATGATAATTTTCTGGAAGTTTAGTGAAACAGTCGCTATATTCTAAGCGAATATGAATTGTAATACTACACAAAACACGAAATAGGCACACCGTCTTGTCGCGTAGCTATTACGTGCTAAGTGTAATAATTAATACACATGAAGTTAGAGAATACGAGAAGACATTTCCGATAATGTAAAAAAAAATCTTTGGGGGACTTTTTGTAGGTACACGGTAAATTTAGTCAATTTTGTACGTTGTGAGTCACAGTTATGAGTAATCTATTTCGTAGGTCAAAAAAGTACGCCAAGGATTGTCGTATGCTCAGGCCCTTATAAAGGTGTGTGTAAAAGAAAAAATAGTTACTTTCTGTTCTTTCTTTGATAATAATTTTAGACAATAAATTGAAGTACGCCTTAAAACGTTTTTTTTTCGGTTAAGCCTAAGTGAGGGACAGACATCTCATTTTTTTCCACACTGCAAGCAACGAGCTGTTACATCTCCTTTTAATTCACAAAAGTGTAAAAATCGTTTAGTCCTTACTTTATGATCCTTACCTGCGTATGCAATTACACACACACGTAAGCCTTACTTTTACATTAAATGTCGTTTCTAAATGCATATAACTATTTTTTTAATTTATTTAGGTAACTATACAGCGTTTCCTCGTCTTTATGAGTCCGTAAAAGTCGAGCTTGATGTTTTAATAGAATAAGGGTGGCAAACGAGCACGTAGTCCATCTGATGGCTCATAGACGTCTACATATATCCTCGATAAAGAATCAACATGCAGGTAAGTTGTCATCCGTGAGGCCTAAGATGGAATGCCTCGTCACCAGTAGAAAGAGTCTTCGGTTCTCTACACTCAAACAACAGCAAAATTCTACTGTATCGCGGCTACAAAACCAATTCTGTTAAAGCATTGTCCTACCCTGGTCGAGCCAACCTATTCGTGCTGCAGCTGTGTATATTCAGCATAGCTGCAACGTGGCTCTACCACGTAAATGACAGGGGCTTCTTCCCTTATAAAGAGGATTTTCCTTAATCACCATACTTGGAAAACGGATTGAAGATCGATGTCCCTTATGTTCTTACACCTTTCTATCGCTAGATATAATATTTTTACCAGACTCCTATTAAGATACCAACGGGATGAAACAGGGTGATGTGATTCTCTTACGCCCCAAACATGCTGATTATCTACTTATTACAAATAGGTAATAATTTGCTATTTTATTATACTGGTGTCACACAAGGAACCCTTATAATTTTGTTCCTTCCGTTAGCCTCAAAATTTGTACCACAGCATCATATTGAGATTTTTCAGCGAATTTGATAATAAAAAATTGAAACCAAAGTGATTTAATCAATTAACACATAATGGTTTAATCGACGAAAACTTAACATAAGTCCTCCTATGGTCCAGGCCTATAAAACTTTTAAAGCGTAGGTGCATACGGTGCACCCTGCTGATTGAAGAACGGGGCACTGGCGACCGAATGGTTTCGAAAAGCGATAAACGTTACTAAAAAGCTAAACCAAATTGCAAAGCCTGTGATGGCGACCAGCATTATCATTGTGAGGATATCGTATCTGTGCTTACCAACCTGCTGGTGAGTAGGGGCAAATCTTCCAAGTGACACTTGTCAGTTGACACATTCCTGGGTAGACCCTAGACCCTATATCAAATCGTGATTTTTGTGAGGCTGTTATATATGTATTATATTTATTACACGAAAATGTGATTAAATGAATAAATAAAAAGAATTGCTCGAATATCTGATTCCTAAATTGTTTAAGCTTTTAATATAGTATAAATATATCTAACTTACCTAATATCTTATAGTAATAACAAACATGACATTAACTTTAGGGCGAACTTTAATAAACTGTGTGTCGACAACATGTTACAGGTTCATATCTTTATGACTGTAGAGTTAGTAAAACTTTGATTAGTTCGCTTTAACTTATAACCTATTCTCTTATGGCAAATCAAAAGTTTATTTGATGATCGAAAACAGTGTTGTTGTAAACAAATGATGTCGTATTCTTGTTAATTGCAAGAGACTGATAAAAGATAATAAAATATACCTAAAAAAAATTCATTCGTGATTGGGTGACACTGGAAATACTCGTAATTATCACTAAAGTAATTTTCTAATGTGACATAACTATAATGCTTAGAAGTAAGTTAGCACACTTAATGAAAGTCTCACGCGAGCGGTATTTTTATTGATTTCTGACTCAAATAATTTATCATTTTGAAGATTCTACAGTAAACAAGCCAATCCACGCTGACAAAGAATATCACTGAGATATAATAGCAGCATAATACTACCTTGTTTTGATTGTGGTGAACGATGAAAATCCGAGACCGTTTTTAGGGGTAACGAAACATTTCATTTTAGTCCTCAGGCGTGGCAGTGTGACAGCCCATTTAAGATTCTTAGCTCTGTTAGATAATAGATTTTAAAATAAAATTGCCGTTCTGCAGTACTGGCCATTTCAAATCAAAATAATTTTTGTTTGGCTAGGAATTCTAATTTCAAAATTTTATTTTAAAAACATGGAATTGTTTTTCAAAATTAGTCGTTTGTTTATTTTTGTTGTGATGTTTTTATCGCATTATTAACTTTTTCGCCATCATAGATACGTTAAAAAATATAGTAATTATGGAATATGAGTACCGTCATGGCAGCAACACGGATACGGACACAAAAACTTTTACGGAGCGAATACTACTAACGAACGCACCACCTGTTATTGCTTTGCCCGCTTTCATTCTAGAAATTTCGACATGAAAACTGAACCCCGTGGTCATCCGAAAACTTTGGACGACAATGACGAATTAAAGGCATGTGTGAAGGGTGATGATACTCAATTTACGGCTGAATTAGTAGCAGCTTTCAACATTAGCATCAAAATAATATTATACCATTTGCGTTAAATTGGCAAGGTAAGCAAGTCAAATTGGTTGCTTGACAAACGGAAGCCCCACGAAGTCAATGATTGCCAGCGCAAAGTACGCGTTGAGACGTGCCTTGCACAAGCACACAAACGAAGGAATTTTGAAGCACATTGTTACCTGCGACGAAAAATGGATTCTGTTTGACAATTGCAAGCGCTCAGTAAGTTAGTAGAATCCTGGTTTAGTACCTAAACAATGCCGTGAACGAAAACTTACCCCTAGAAAAGTGATAGTCACTGTTTGTTGGCCCAGCGCCGGTGTGATTCATCATAGTTTCTTACCAAACGGGATGAGCATTATTGCAGATGTGTACTGTGAAAAACTAAACACAATTATGGAGAAGCTCGCACGTCTCCAATCAGCTTTGGTCAATCGCTCATCCCCGCTGCTGCTGCATGACAATGTGCGACCTAATACTGCACCACAGACGGTCTTCAAATTACAAGAGCTGGGGTTGTAAGCTCTTCGTAATCCGCTGTACTCATCAGACCATGCGCCTACAGACTTCTGCTTTTTACAAAATTTGGATAAATTTTTGGTAGTAAAAATATTCAATACCCGAGAGGCAGTACAAAATTCCTTTGAAAATTTTGTTGCCTCCCGTCCAGCTGATTTCATCAAGAAGGGCATCAATAAACTGCCACTGCGTTGGCAAATGCGATTGCATGGGTGAATACTTTGATTAATAGAAATAAAAAAATATGGAAAAAATACGTTAACGTATTTAATAATAAAGGGCAATTACATAGATAGAGACCTAATAAATGTACATGTCTGTAGACTCTACCAAGCACACAATCGATCGATAGATAGTGAGTTGATTTCACCACCGATCGACTGTGTGCTTGTTTGACCTTTCGGTTAAGATGGACTCACTTAGTCGTACAATATGTCCTGGGCAATCAAACTCGTCAAATACATCAATTATAGTGGTATAGAGAGGTCATTGAGCATTTTTTTTTATTGAATTAGGGTGATAAACGAGCACACAGTCCACCACAGTTAACGGTGGTAGAGCCACGCAGCAGTTTTTGCTGTTGCATGTAAGGGCCGGCTCGAGCCGGGTTGGTACCACGACCTCACAGAATACCGGCGTGAAATAGAAGCTCTACTTCTGCGTTTCGTCTGGTGAGTGCAGGTGGCCCAATTCCCCCCCCCCCCCATCAACATGGTAGCGGAATTACACGATGAACTACCCCAGGAGGGTACCAGTACCCCTGGAGAATTCCTCGCTGAGCATCCACGACCATGTTATTCCGATCCTGAGCGTGGGTGCTCAGGCTGCCCCGCGTATTCTGGGGGGGACAAAATTCCGCTCAAATGCATAACTGCTAGGGGCAAACTGAGCAAGAACACCAAGGCGACCCCTGCCACGCTATCCGTGAATTTTTGCAACATCAGGGGACATCACTCTAACCTAAACGCCGTCCACTATCATCTCGAGACGGCGAAGCCGGCCTTGCTCTTTCTGACCGAGACGCAGGTTTCCTCTCCGGCTGATATTTCGTATCTCTCCTACCCGGGGTACAAATTGGAGCATTCCTTTGTGCCTCGGGATGGAGTTTGCGTGTATGTCTGAGAGGACATCTGTTCTCGACGCCTCGGCAGTCTTGAAGGTTCGGACCTGTCCATCCTTTGGCTACGCGTAGACAGCGACTAGCCGTGTAGTGGCGGTCAAGAATATCCACTACCCCATATCCTCCCGTGGGTGTCGTAAAAGGCGACAAAGGGAAACAGGCAGGAGATGGGCAGCAGCATCTTCTTGATAACAACAAACTAACAATTAAAAAAAACTGCGGTTGCCA